ATGCTTCTTTTATGTACCATTTACCTTCAGAATGTGAGTGAGCATAGCTCTTCACAAATTGCAGCCTTTATTTGCTCTTTAAAGGTGCAGGTAAAATGGTCCTCTCCCTGTACCGCTCCAGTAAGTACCTGGCTCAATATCCTCTACCTTTACAAGAGCCAGATCAGGCTAAGAATGGACTACTTTTGTCATATTTGCGTGAGAGCTGCATAGACCGCAATAGAGTCCAAAAGTGTTTCCGAGTCCTTGCGGGTGACGAATTATTTCCCACACTCCATCCTCTCTTTCACTGTCGGGATGCGGCAAGCTTCCCGCTGGTCTATTGCTACATCCACGGAAAGTGCTCGAACGATCTACATTCCTTGATTCCAACAGGCCTAACCTTCACGGTTAAGACCTGCCATGCCACTTAAATTGTAATAAATCACCCACATTCCCTCTGTATTCCAGCGGTGAGAAGTTCCACTCGAACAGCTTCTTCCCGCCAGACGCTTCTCTGTGGAACCGACTCCTAATAGGATGTTTCCCCGATGACTATAATCTTAACTTGTTCAAATCTAGGGTTAACCGTTACATTCCTCTCCAGTCCATACAAACTGCCTGCTAACGTAACCCTCTTCCTCAAGTGGCTTCCGGTCCTTGTACAGGGTGAACCTTACTGTAAAACAATGTAGTTCTCTGCTCTCCATAAGGCCTAAGTCGATAGATATACAGGTAAGACTGTTACCCATGCAGTATATTCTTCCTTCTCCACGTTTCCGTAATGGTCACATGGAAAGGCAAATGACGATCCACAAGGTTTCAGTGCCGTCGTAGGAGTCGCTAGGGGCGTAGACGAGAACAGTCACTAAATTCCTTAGGGATTTTGACTTGGGATTATTCCTCTGGATCTTCTCACGAAGCCTTTTCAGTGATTATAGGTATAACCATAAGACAGCGTTTTTTTTTTTATTTTTTTTGTTTTTTTACTTAGACTAACTACCTTCCTGAATTTACTAGACCTGTCTACCTGTATATGAATGCACACATGCATGAATACATATATACATATTGACCCCTAGGAAAAAAACAGGAAAGGAGAAATACGACTATGGCACTCTAGATTGTTCTATGGAGAATATATATGACAGAAAACATCTGAATAATTTTTATCTTCACTATTTACATTATTCGGATTATTGTCCTCATCTTTGTTGCCATATTTATCACAACGTTTCGGCCGTTGTACGCTCCGGCCTTCTTCAGGTGGTTGGGATGTCGAACCGAACCATTTATTTCGCTCGCTGGGGTAGACTGTTCTAGTTCCACGTGCCATGTCTAATGGAGGTCAGTTATCTCCTGTTAATGCACCACTCCAAGTTCTCCACTACCTTAACCATTAACTTTCATTCTTTGGGTCCTGTCATTGGATCTAACCAACGCCTTTATCCACTGTGCCATGTGTCCTTATCTTAGCCTACGAAACGTATCTGGGTCAGTAAAAGGATGTCTTTCCGCAACTGTTAGATTCTTGTGCGAACCATAATCGTCATGCACTAGAGATGAACTCCTCCCTGATTGGCCATGTATTCAAGGGTGTAACCGTACTCAACACGACTGCTGTATTCCCAGCATTTATCGTACTGTAATGGTATTACGTACAGATGGACAAAAAGACGAAAATAAATCTCTCATGTACAATATTGCTTTTTATTCAACTCTTTAGTTACTGTCGACGAGTGGGTATCGGCTGTGGGTTTTTCTTTGAGTGTGTGTTCTACAATCTCACAAGGATATCAGATAATTTCTTCTTCTTCTTCACTCTCAAGTGGCGGTTTATATATCTTCCAGTCATCGTCCGTCCCGCTTGTGCCCATCCTAGACACACTACCTGTTTACATATCAGTGACAGCCATTGACATCAAGTGAACACGCGGATCTGCGGCTCGGAGGTCATATCTGATACGAATGCACCTCTCTTCTCTGATGGATATTGTGTGCATCATCTGAGATGCGTCAGTCTTACAGCCATATCACATTGAAAGACCCGTTCTCGTAAGATCACCGAAGTTAAACCACGTCGTGCCTAGATGGGTGACTGTTTGGGAATATCAAGTGCTGTAAGCGTGGGGATGCAGGTGGTGTAACGGCGTAGAATTGAAAATCGGAGAGCCGAGTTCCAATTCCAGTTGGGTTCGTTATATTCAATTTCGCGCAAATACCTTTGAGAATGGTATGAAACCACCTATTCTACCCCAACACATAATGGATATATCAGTAATTCATTATCTCTAAAAAAGTTCTGACAATCTATAACTATTTTCTGGCTTTAAATAACTTGCAAATGTTTGCTAAGTCGTAAAAAGTCGACCAATGAGATGAGTCACATGCTAGTCGACATCTTTGTCGTTTCAAGTTTCTCCATCTCTGTACATTGTTCTGCATTTACTGACATATTGGAGATTATATATTGCATAGTATTTCATCACTCGGTTCTTTGTTTCTAAGTAGTCCTGGGTACGACGATAAACTACACCCGGCAGCAAAGCCTCTGATTGAGAGATTGGAGATTTTGAGGAGCGTGAAAACTTCTCTTAATTGCTATTGTTTCCAGGTGCATCCTTATCCGAGGTGGTAGCACCTGTTAGGGTCCCATTCATGGACAAATAGTGAACCCCAAACAAAAACAAAAATATGAAAATATAAAAATACATTTTTATAGTAAAAATACCAGCAATACATTTGTGTATAAAAAAAAAATATATTTTATAACAAAATGATCAACAATACATTTTAGCTGTAGTTGAAGGTATACAATTCCGTTCAAAATATTTAGATTTCGGCATTAAATAATCTACAAAGGTTGATATGCCGCTAAACAAAGCCAAACAAACAAACCAACTTTGTTTCTAACGAAATGTTCCTATCTCTTAATACTTTGCTTCATTTCTGGAAGACATCTTCTGTTGTTATGCACCTTCAGATTTTACGGTCACATTTTCCTTTGTCTAGTACGACCCTCCCCAGGCAGTTGACATTCGGTACGGTCTTGATTTTAACGTCCCCAATACATACATCACACCTATAAGTGACAACCATTCGTGCTGTCTTCTTACATTTAATAGTTCTTTCATTTCACTTTTTTTTACTATCTTATCTAAGAGTTGTTTTTTTTTCATTTGTTTTCTACGACTAACAAATGTATCTTTTGTTGTTAACATTGTCTACTGATAATAAATTCTGGTATGCCATGAAATAATCAAGATGAAAATAATAGTTCGATAAATCAATTAAGACAAAGTATCTGTCTATATTTCTGAGATGAGGTATTGTAACTATTTGCACTATTTACATTGTTCAAACGGTTGTCCTCATTTTTGTTGTCATATTCACGACGTTTCGAACGTTGTACGCTCCGGCCTTCTTCAGATGATTGGAATTTCGTTCACTAATGCTTTTATTCACTGGACCACGTGTCATTGGATAAAAGCGTTGGTTGAAGTAATCCAGTGACTTGAGTGGTGAGTTCAATACCCGGTCAGGGCAGAGGTGAACAAAAACTTGATGAGTTGAGTTACTAAAAAGGAAATAACCTGAAACTGAAACTGATATATCCGAAAGAGGATGCGGAACTAGAACAATCTACCCTGGTTGACGAAATAAAGGGTTTGTTTCGAAATTCCAATCCCTGAAGAAGACCGGGGCGTACAATGGTCGAAATGTGAACATGACAACAAAAATGATGAGAATAGTTCGTAAATAGTGTAAGATGTCGAAGTATATTGTTTTTTTCTTATCTCTAAAATATATTAGGTTGAGTCGTTAATGCTTTTCCACTTTTGTTTACCAACTTTATTCTTAAAAAACAAAATAAATTTACATTTGATTACATATGCACTCTTATTTTCAACCGTTTTTGCCACTTATCAGGCAGTTCTTCGATATCTTTTGTGTAAAATACCGCCTGTTTTAAGATGAAGTTTTCGCCAAAACTTGAACCTGGTTTTTACTAGAAAAAGTTTTTTCTTATCAAATAAAGGTAATAATCACTTGGTGCAAGATTAGCTGAATTTTTTCCTGTGAATTCTTTTCGGTGAGTTTTTCCTGTGTTGTCATTGCATTTTATGGAGGAGAACAGCATTTTTACTTTAATTCACTGTGAAGCAAAATCTAACGTACGCTATAACATTCCATATGTATTCCTGTTACAAACAAATGTCATTAGAATGATACATTCGTCATTGCATTTGGTTCCCCAAATGAAAATTACTTAAGGTTCAAACTTATAAAAATTAAAAAAAATGTTAATATGCATATTTTTGACAAAAGAGTGCACACGGTTTATTAAGTAGCGTTTTCTAATGAAAAATTTCGAAATGTTTCACATGAGTTTCAAATGTTTTACTTTATAGCTTTCCTTGGATCATTCTGAGCTGCCATTTGTCAGAGCTGCCATTTGTCTGAGCTATAATCTTACGCAGTTCACGATAAGTCGGTCACGTGATGGTTCATCTGCTACAAATTAATCAACTTTGACAGAAAAATATTGAATCTTGATTATGTTCGAACGACCTCCCTATCTTTCAACGTTGCAAAAGTTTATAAGTAAATTTGTGCATCCAATTTGAACAATGTCTTACCATATAAAATACACAGATACTTTTTAATCGGTCGGGAAATCAAATATTCCCTTCTTAATAATAAAATGCAGTGATCCCTCGCTTATCGCGGTAGATTGCTTCCGAGACCGGCCGCGATAACTGAATTTCCGCGAAGTAGGGACGCCATATTTATAGTACTAATTTAACGTGTATTTTGGACTTTTAAAACCCTCACTGTACTGTTAACAACCCACCCATTAAAGTACTCTATTAATAACAAGGACAACTGTTAAGCAATAACACTTTAGATTAAAAAAATAGATTGTTACTATACTCAACACGAAAGAAGTTGAATTAAAATTTGAATGATGATGCGCAGTAGAAATGATGCTGATGTAGCTGCTGATCCCTTTGCAGCCAATGATTGTATTTTATGTCTCTTCAGATGGTGATGCCCTTTCCTGGGACACCTCTTCCATTTCTTCCGAAGGTGCAACCGTAGTAGTAGCGGCAAGAACTGGCTCTTTTTTGCGAGGCTGCAAAAATATTGTGATAAGAAGTTGCTTCCGCTGCTTCTTTTTCTGTTCAAAGAGCATCTCGTCGGGATTCATGACATCGTCGACCTTGTTGTAAAATTGCACAGAACGAACCATGTCGTCGTCCTATTTCTGTGACCCCTCTTTCAATTCTTTAGCCAGGTTGCAGAGCTTGGCCAGCTGGTTCCAAATTCAAGCCAGTTTGGTCGACAACTTCTTCCATTTCTTGCTGCGTTTCTTCTTCGCTGGCCGACTTCGTCAAGTCTTCAAGGTCTGCGTCGGTTAGCGGCTGGGAGTGGCAGTCTAATAACTCGCCGATATCTCCCGTGGTCATGTTAGCAAAGCTGTCACCTCCAATGATCGCAGCCAACTGCAAAGCTTTCTGTACTGCGGAGTGTTGGATTTCGGCAGGTGTAAATCCCTTGTCGTCGTAAATAACCTCCTGCCACAAATTCTTCCAGCTCGTGTTAATGATGGTAGGCTTCATTTCTTGCAATGCCTTCTGGATATTTGGGAGGCACGTAGCAATTGTGTACTGCCACGAGTATGCCTCCATGTTAAAATTTTCGTCTTCGTCTTCTTGGGCGGCATCCACAGAAGCAACCAGGCTCGCCAGGACATTCCTCGTGTATAAGGCATTGAACGCCCTGATAAGCCCCTAATCTATTGGCTGAATATAGTTGCGTAGTGTTGGGCGGCAGGAACTGAATGCCCTCATACGACAGATCAATAGCGTGGCCACCAGCGTTATCCATAAGGCGAAGGATTTCGAATTACACAGAGTAAAGTAGTAGAGTAAACCGCTCGGTGAGAAAGCTTGAAGCGAAATGGCCGCGAACGAGAGACAAGGGAAGATGCTGCGGATCTGAGCATCGGTCAAAACATCAATCACAGGCAAGATTACAAAATAGAAAACTGTGATTCGTCGTCTCTCATAAGTTTTTTTTTTTTTTTTCTACTTTATTGTTTTGTTGTTCCTATATTATATGGACAGGAATGTTTTCTTTTTCAAATGTTATTTTCCATGTTTTTTTAAAAATTACGCGAAGTCGTGAATCCGCGAAACCACGAATTACAATCTCCCAAAGGATATTTAAATTGATATACATTATTGCGTTTGGTTTTTATTTTTCAGTATTTAAAGTTTTTTGTTTTTATTTTCAAATACATTAGTTGACAAATACGAATATGGACAGAATTTTTGTTGATGATTAACAATCTCCCAAAGGATATTTAAATTGGTTCTTTTGCAAAACATTAGTTGACATTATTGCTGAATTAATTTTTATTTTATGTTGTATATAGTATATAATTAGCTTCATTTTGTACTGGCATAAATGGGGGATATATTAGTATTATGAGTTTTTTTAGGATTTTTTCATCTTGTTTGTAGTTAGAGTGTATTTGATTGCAGTAGGTTGATATGGTTAGGTTTATTTGATGAAGTATTATGTTCTTTTTGTTCTATGCTAATATTTCTAATAGCTCGTCTAATTTGTTCATCAGCGATGTAATTAGTAAAGTCATTATTTATGAGAATTTGTTTAATGTCTTTTTAATTTCATGTAGAAGATTTTTTCGTGGAAGTGTTAACTTTTTCACGGTTTATTAAATTTTGTATAATCGCTGTTTTGTAATAGTCAGGACATAAAAGAAATAACCAAAACTACGGCGTCTTTCTTAACCAGTTTTGTAAAAGCACTAAGACATTGATCCGTGAATTTGAGAGGATCAAAATAAAAATAAATAGACATAATATGTTTAGATTATTCAAGCATATATACTTGAATGAAGATATGCTGCCTAAATATACATACATATATTATGAAATGAATTAAGTCCGACAATTATTTAATATATTTTCTATTTATACGTTATTTTAATAGGTACAATTTATTACAGTAAATTCTCTGGTTTTTAAATAAACAGTAATAATTACATTTACCGGCCTGAATGTTCGAGAAATTTCGTAGAAAAGGTATCGAACCTGTAACCCCAATGGTAATCATCATTTGGTCTGACATGCTGCCAACCATTCAGCCACAAAGAAGCGTTTGGTTAGCAAAGTTCTAATTACTGTTTATGCTAAATGTAATTAATACTGTTTATCTAAAAAACAGAGCATTTACTTAAATAAATTGTATCTATTAAAATAACGTATAAGCAGAAAATATATTAAACACGCACAGACACACACACACACATAGTGATATTTCTGTTTTTGTTAATGATTGCTCATAGGGAAAATTGACCTAGAAAAAAGCTGGATGTTGTACAAAGTAAATAATGCGAATTCTGAAAAATAAGAATCCTGGTCGTTTAAAAAATAATAAATATGCCGGTATTATACGGGATGATAGCCGGACAAGTAGTTATTCCGTTAGACGTTTTACGTCATCAGTACTGGAAGAATTCACGTGCCAAACTGTTGATATTTCTGACACTCACTAAAGAAATTTTAGTTATGAGTATTTGAAGAAATTCTTTTCGATCAAGACTTTTAAATGGAGATCATTAAATGCAATTGACAATATTTAAGCGTAATAACAAATAAGAAAAATTCTTTAGAAACAAAGAAAAAAGTGCCGAACTGCTGTGTTATATCAACCCAACTATATCGTAGTGAATGCTGGAAAATTTCCTTACAGGCAAAGAGGAGACTGGAAGCAACAGAGATGTTGTTCTACAGAAAGATGCTGAGTATACTATAAACGCAATATGTTAGAAACATTTAAAGAAAAAGGACACATACTTAGTTTCTATAGAAGTTGACGGCCTCGAGAATTTGACATACATCGGACATATTGAAGAGTAGAGAAACTGAGAAAAGCAGTCAGTAACATACATAATGAGGTTACCCAAATGAATAGGTGACATAATCCTCCTGACAAACCACTTCAACATTGGTAGCGGAGCGTAGTTTATAAGCTTCTAAGAGATACTGAATACAAAATTCCATTATTTCACTCAACCATACTATTACTAAAGGGCGACTCTTCAGGTGTAGTACTAGTTTTTAGGCCCAACTTCTCATTCATCTCTTTGAAAATTTCATTATTAAATTCTCCTCCAAAATCACTATAAAACTTTACTGGTGCCTCAAAATATGCCAATCAAATCTTGAAAACTTTCTCAAGAACAACAACAAAGCATTAGTTTCTGTTAGCTGGGCAATACATAAGTATATGGAACAATAACAGTTAGAGGGGTAGTAAAAATACATTACGAGGAATAGAAAGTTGTGGAGAGCCATGATCGCCTATACCCTGTAGGGACACTGCATATAAAATGAGAACCTTTAAAATAAAACTTGAGTTTGGTTCGGCGGTAGAATGATACAGAAAAAAAAAACTGTTAAAAGATCTAAATATTTGCTAGCATCTTGTGGTGTAATATTGTAATGGGAAATTTTCAATAAAATTCTTGATCCGGCTTTGTACTAAGTTTTTCTCTTAATTCCGAGCAATTTTCTATTCGACATTTGTCTCCAAAAAGAAACTAAGAAAAACCTATAAAAAAGATATTAATTAAATATATACGCATAAATAAATCATACCTAAAATATTAAGATATCTGCATGTTTTTGCAACAATATTTTTAGTGGGTATAAGTCAGGGGCCGGGAACCCCAGGGCCTCCGGGTCACATCCGGCCCGCGAAGAATTTTAGTTTGGCCCGCCAAATTAACCGTAACTCAAACTAACTCAATTACCGTACTCTTTTTTTCTTTCCTTTACACAAGTCAAAAATGGCTTTTGAAAAGACGTCTAAAAAAAGAAAAAAAAGCCCATCGAAATTAAAAGAAAAAAACAAAAGTTGATTTAATGTTCCGAAATTTTAACGAAAGCTGGACTCATGGCTATTTTTTTCATTGAGCATTTCGGAAAACGTGTTTGCTTAATTTGTCAAGAAACAATTGCTGTAAAGAGAGTTTCTCCTGACGAAGGCAGCTCTCTGGACGAAGTGGTCTGAAGTCGCGACAATTTATTATAGTACATTTGATATCTTGGCCCTCCTCAAAGACACTGCATAGCTGTCTGACTCGCTCTCTCCAGAAGGTTGTCGACCATCTGGTATGTTTGAATTAGCGTCTCTGTTATTTTAAACAGTGATATTAATGTCAACCGGTCTAGAAATAGAGAAGTCCTGATATGATTTTTGACAGGATTCGAACCTGCGTCCCCACTTTTTTTTATTATTAGTGAAACGTAATTTTTACACTGGTTGACATAAATTTCGCTATTTAAAATAACAAGAATGTCAATTCAAACAGGTGCTTTGTTCGTTTGATTGAATTATTTTTTTTACAGCTTATCAATCCTTTCTGTGTTATTTAAAGCATATTTTGAATTGTAAGAATATATCTTTACGAGTGTATATTGCATTAACAATTTTTGAGAAGAAAATTTTTCTAGATATAGTTCCATCTATTTAACCCATAGCTTGGACGTGGAGATGGATTTATAACTTTCCCATGAGTATTTGAGCTTAATTGAATGTAACGAATCCAACAGCTCTCATACGTGTACCCACTAAAAATAACGTTTATAGCAATAATAATTCCATGTGGGATTTTAAAAAATCTATTTAAAAATATCTGCATATAAATAAATAAACCCATGAAAGCTTGTATTGTATCTTCTTACCGCAAATGCAATTAATATTATCAAAGAGGACTGTTGTTGACATAAAAAAGCTCTTCCCTATTGGCTCTCATGGCAGGGCATAGATATATTTTGGCGTGTTTTAGTTTTCCTCCTCAACTTTGCTCAACCCAATAGCACACACCTTCCGTCTACCAGATTAAGAATGAAAGAAACAAAACGTCACCATTATAAACATGCTTCTCTTCAAAAAGTTAAAAATAAAACTTACCCATTACAGACCATCTGTAATGTGTGAACTAATTAAATTTTCGGAAGGAACTTTTCTTTCTTTCCGTTCAAAACTTTCTCCTTTAATAAATGTGTACTATGTAAGGACGTACTTCCGGTGGCACATTGGCCTGTAGATTTCCTGATTCCTTTGTTGTTTGAATCTATGGTAAAACTTGGAGTTAAACTTATTGTTTTATGGCAAGTACCATCTCCGGCCTGCGAAATTATGACAATTTTCGGAAGTAGTTTTATAGTCTTCTATACACAGACATTAGCTACGAGAATATATATATATATATATATATATATATATATATATATATATATATATATATATATATATGAGACAATCATATCTATATTTTATATATCAAGAACAGTTTTTGGAGGAACGATGAATGACAAAGTGAAAAAAGTTTTCGTGTAGCGCGTTTTGTCTATTGGGAATTCATCGGACTAGGTTTGTTTACGTTGATGCGACTACACATGCGCACGAATAAGGGACGCTGGGAATTTCAAATTTAGAAAAAAAACTTTGTAGTTGTAGCAACATAACAATCTTAGTCCAATGAAGTCCTAAGCCTCACATGAAAACTTTTTCCACTTTGTCACATATATAAGTATTTTGTTGTCCTTAATATTTTTTTCATTTCATTATTTCTTTTAAACGCTGTTCTGCCATCCATTTACTCAAATTCGCAAGCTTGGTAATACGTTATTTCCTTCTGTCTCTCTTGCCTTCAATCTATCCTGTGAAT